AGCAAAACTCTGGCTTGCATCCATAGATGCTTCTCAAGCAAATCCCAGGATGTCATTCTCCCATTGTACATGGCCTTGGTGAGGCCACAGCTGGAGTACTGCATCCAGTTTTGGGCTCCACAATTCAAAAAGGATGTGGAGAAGCTTGAGAGAGTGCAGAGGAGAGCCATGCGCATGATCAGAGGTCAGGAAAACAGACTTTATGATGAGAGGCTGAGAGCCATGGGACTCTTCAGCCTGGAAAAGCACAGGCTCAGGGGTGATATAGTGGCCACCTATAAATTTATCAGGGGTGCTCATCAGGATCTGGGGGAATGCCTGTTCACCAGAGTGCCCCAAGGGATGACAAAATCGAATGGTCACAAAATGCTCCGTGACCATTTCAGGCTGGACATAAGAAAGAACTTCTTTACTGTCCGATCCCTCAAGGTTTGGAATAGACTGCCGCTGGAGGTGGTTCAAGCACCTACCTTGAATGCCTTCAAGAGACATTTGGATGTCTATGTTGCTGGGATCCTATGACCCCTGCTGACTTCCTGCCCTTTGGGCAGGGGGCTGGACTCAGTGATTTTCCAAGGTCCCTTCCAGCCCTAATATCTATGAAATCTGTGAAAGGACAGATTCTGACCATTGGCCAGTCCTGTTTGAACAGTAGTCCAGTTCCACATTTGAATTCCTCATTTACACCTGGCAGACAAGGTTCCTTGGGTGAATTTGATATCTTTTATTAGACCAACCCACATGGTTGGAGAATAGTTATTAAGCAAGCTTTCGGGTTCAAAAACCCTTCGTGAGGCTAAGGAAGCAGCCCCTAAATACTAAAAGAGGAGTCTTCTACCTCATAGCAGTGAGTGGTGACTCAGCACAGGTTGCATCGATTTTGGAAGCGGTATAGCATGGGCAGTCTCTGCATGTGGCACATGGCAGATCAGGGAGGGGACAGACAGCAGAGCAGCAAATAGAGCAAGCAGCGGAAAGGAGAATAGCAGATGGCAAGGTAGCACAGGGCAGGGAGCAGACATCGGAGCAGCATATCAGGCAGGGGAAGGACATCGGAGTGGTCCTTGGGGAAGGCTCAGGACTAATTTGTGGCATGCCTGCCAAAAAGGTTCACCCCCACTGAATTGCAGATTATTAAACCTGTCACTTGTAATTTTGAGCTTTTCACATTTCCCATCAAAACTTTTCTCTTTTCTGTGATGTTACTACATTTCTCTCAGCACCCAGGTAAATCTCAGCATTCATGTTGTTGTAGCTTGAAAAGTTACTGGTATTATTGTATGGGAAATTTACAGACCTTGGTCTGAGTTCTATTTCCACAGTAGCAGAAACCTATTGCCATGCGTCATACCTGCTCAGGGTGAGGGAGGACTAATCCAAAGCTCAGTGAGGTCAGTAGTAGTTTTGTAATTGATTTCAATGGGCTTTAGATCAGGCCATTAAACATATGGCTATCTTTCAAAACAGAAAAACCAACTGCATTTCTTGAAATGTCTGCTGATTTGTTTTTTTCCTTTTCAGCTTCTGTTTTCAGCTGAGGGGTGTGGTATTAAATTGTGTTGCAGCATTTTTGTTTAAAACTACAAATTATACTAATCCATTATACAATGCACAGTTCATATTCTTCCCCTCTTCAGGCCACTCCTAGTGTCTGACGAAGTATGTTGTTGCCTATGAAATCTCATGCCTCTCTGAATTAATTTGTCTCTAAGGTGCTTCCCAGCCCTACCTTGTGTTTTTTGTTTAATATCCTATCCCTGTACAATTTTTTTTTTTTTGGCTACCCACCATGTTCTCTCCTGTCTTCTTGCTGATTCCTGCCATTGCAACTCTCTGGCCTCCAGAACTAACAAGAGTCGCTTGTAATATTCAAATGTGGAGGCTGTGGTGATGGGTTAATCATTCTGTATAGATAGCCATGGGAATTTCCTTAACAATAGAACAGCTTGTGGGTCAGGAAGGAAAAGGAGGAGCACATTGTGAGTGCTATAGAGCTGGTCAACAGAAAAAAATAATGGATGAGGATTTCAAAAAGACAATGTGTAATGATTAGGGATCCTGATTTTCCATTCGTTGCTGAAAAAAAGCATTAAAACGCAGATTGTCTTCATTTACAGAGAAAAATGAAGATTTTTCTCCTTTTACGGAGAAAAATATGGGAAATGGTGGGTTTCCCCTTGCAGGCTGGCAGAGTTCCTGCAATGGGCTGGGGGGAGTGGGAGGAGAGTGATCAGGCAGGGCGTGCACACACATGCATGTGGTAGCCAGGGAGAATGGAGAGCAGTTCCTGCAACTCCCTGCAGGTAGGTCTTGACTGGAGAGGGATTGAGGCTCCCATAGTGAGGGAGGGAGTTGGGCAAGGCTGAGGCTGGGGTTGGAGGCCAGCCAGGGCCATGTGTGGGGCTTGGGGCCCCAGGGCCAGGGTGGGAATGGACAGCTGCAGCGCAGGCAGGGAGCAGGACAGAGCTGTGGATGGCTCATCCGGGGAGTGGCAGGGGGGCTCACTCCCCGCCACTGCGTGCACTCCTAGGAGGGTATGTGGGCATGTGCCCCCCAGATTTGTGCGTGGAGTGGGGGGCTGATGTGGGCTACCCACTACAGGCTCTGGGTGTTCCCCTGAGGGCCTCCACGGCCCAGCAGGCAGGACCCAGTGCAGCAGGGCAGAATGGGGTGGGGAGGTTTATGGCCATCTCCGGGAGCCCTGTGCTGCCATGGCAAGGTGCCCCCTGCCCACCCAGCAGCAGCAAGGATGGCAGCGCAGAGTTGTTCTCCCTGCTGCTGCCAGGGGGGTAGGAAGTGCCTTGCCATGGCAGCACAGGGTTTCTGGTGGCGGCATGTAACCTCTCTGCCCTGCAGCGCTGGGTCCCATCCGCTGGGCCGAAGAGGCCCCCAAGGTGAGGGCAACAGGGTGGGGAACCCTGTGCCCTCAGCGGGCAGCCCACATCCTCCCCTCCTATACGGGCTCTGCTCCAAGCATGCTGCCTGGGGGGGAGCAGGAGCTGGGCTCTGCGCTCAGCTCCAGCCGCAGCAGCCACCACCCCCACAGGCAGCAGCCAGGGCCCAGGCACTGCTGGAGAGGTCAGGGGACAGTGGGCCCAGGTCCCTGGCCCTGTAGCCCTGGCAGCTGGGGGCCCCCTCCAGCAGGGCTACAGGGCTGTGGGTCAGGAGAGAGGGCCACCAGCAGGGCCAGGGGGCTGTCGGTTGGGAGTGAGGGGCAATGGCATGGGCAGGGCACTGGCATATCAGGGCTGTCTGTGCCACAAAGCAGTGTGGGGGACAGCTGCACCTGGACCCACATCCTAGTAAGTGAAGGGTGCAGGAGGACCTCTGATTTTTCATGATAAAGAACCCAAAATGAAATGCCAAAATTTATAGGAATTTAGAATTTATTTTATTATAGTGATTGAGGCACTTCTAGGCTTCCAAATTGCTTTAAAATTGTGAATATATTGATAAGACATTATGTTGAACTGATACCTATATATATAGAATGGCATTTCATTTTAATTGTGGAAAAACATGGATTTTGGGTTTTTTAATCAGAGAATGTGTACGTGTGTGTGGGGGGGGATGATAATCAGAGAATTTGCTATTTTTAAACAGAGAAAACTAGGATCCCTGGTAACGATGTAACAAAGCGTTTTGGCCATGCTTCAGAATCAGTTAAGATAGATCAATAATGCTGGTTTGGTGGTTATTTTTATTATTTTTTTGGAATCTCATGGAAATTGCACAGTGTTGTGGAATGGGGTTGACCTGAAATTGTTCTCTTGTGTTTTATAAGCAAGGTATCATTTTTTTTCCATGGGAAATGTGGTCCCCAACATACTCCTGGAGCCCAGCTGATTATGCTTTCATGCCTGCTTAACGGCCTTGCTTTAAGGCCCCATATGAGAGGCCTTGTAGTAGCAGCGGAGAGGCTCTCTTCTGTCCATGTCAGTGTTGATGCGCAGTCATCTAGAGTGGTCAGTGCTAAATGGGCTGAGGTGCTCCACTTGCAGGAGTACAGTGCTGCCTGTGGAGCTGCCAACCATGCTGCCAGCTCACTAGTGAGAGACGAGCTCATCCTCTGAAGATACTTTTGCTTTCTTGTTTCCTTTTTGTTCCATCCTTCTTGCTAACAATTACTGCAGCTCCATTTTTATGTCAGTTCTGGAAAGTGGCAAGTGACTGTAAAAACAACTCTCAATTGTGTGAAACTCTCCTACCTGTATCCACATAATACAGCTGATGTTGACACATTCTTTTATGCTTTTGGGCACCTTAAATGTTCATATTTATCATCAGCACTCTAGCAAAAATACCCTACTCTTGGTTGGTAATTCACAAGTGTACACAGAGTAATGACAAAACCTGTGGTGAAGTAAAACTCGAAAAAAACATTTTGCTTTTCTAAGGACTGCAGGATTTCATGGGCAGACTTATGCTGACTTCATCAGTGAGACCTTAGTAACAGCATCAGCAACCTAATTTTGGTGACAAGCAACACAAGCTCTTTGAGACAAGGCCTGTCTTTACTCTGACCCAGTGACTTCCTGATTTCAGCATGGGCCTTTACAAATAATCAGTAACCAAAGTGATCGAACACTAAGATACATATGTGCTAGTAAAGAAATTCAAGAAAGTTTTCCCATGTGCAGTACTATGCAACTCAATTGCTTGCCTTCTCCTTAGAAGCTGAGGTCCATATTCTCCTTAGACCATATTCTCCTTATAAGCTGAGGTCTCAGGATTTATTTTATTTCATTCAAAACGGACACCAACAAATTAGGTTTTAAGTTAATTATTTTTTCAGTAAGTGTTGTCTAAACAGTGGCTCATATGATGCTTTTGTTTGCGAGTGAAGATGAATCTGAAGTGTTCTTCTTTTGTTTCAGATGCAGAGGGAAATTGCTTACGCAGGCAGAGATGGCTCAAATGTTTCCCGACCAGGATCTGCTGCACATCCTTCTCATGCAATTCCGAGTTCGCCACCCTCTACACCTGTGCCACACTCTATGCCCCCTTCTCCATCCAGAATCCCTTATGGTGGGGGCAGGCCTATGGGAGTGCCAGGAAACGCAACAATTCCCAGAGACAGGCTCTCAAGTGTGCCAGTGTCCAGGTCCATATCGCCAAGCCCGAGTGCCATTCTGGAAAGAAGGGATGTGAAACCAGATGAGGACCTGAGTAACAAAAGCCTTGTTCTGTTTCGCAATGAAGGCTTATATGCTGACCCCTATCTGTTTCATGAGGGGAGGATGAGTGTGGCTGCTTCCCATACTGGACACCCTCTTGACATCCCTGATCATATTATAGCTTATCATCGCAGTACAATGAGGTCCTCAAACACTTACTTGAACCCCTCTATGCAACCTGAGATGGTGGAGCAAACATTGTACAGGCAAAAATCAAGAAAATATCCTGAGAGCCATTTGCCAACTCTTGGTTCAAAAACTCCTCCTGCTTCACCCCACCGGCTAGCTGACGTAAGAATGATTGATATTCATCCTCATCATAATGCTCACGTACCCCCTCATGCTATCCAGCCCGACAGGTCTTCTCCTAGTCGCCAGTCCTTTAAAAAAGAACCAGGAGCACCTATCTACGTGGAAACTAAAGCACGAAATGCTGTAGGATTATCTGGCATGGCTGATGTTGTTCCATCTGTGGCTGACAGGCAAGCGTTTGGCTACGGATCAGCGGCAGTGCCCAAAGATAAAGACACAAGGTAAGACAGAACAAGACTATAAAGCATTTAAGCAGGAGCAATCTGTAATCTGTGAGGCTTACCTCATTTAATATACAGGAGACAATCACTCTGTGCTGCTCCTGTCCTTAGATATGGATGATGCTAGTAAGTAAGTAATTTAAAGGAGGCAAGATGCACAAAATAACTACATTTACTAACCAGAAAATCTTGTCTCCCAGCCGTGACCCGTAGTCATTTTCATTAGTGTAAATTTCAGGCACTTGAAAAAAATAAAATGATTAACTGAGATTTTGTTTTTTCAGACACGCAAATCATGTTACAAGAACAAATGACGTGCTGCTGATGCTAATAAGGGAATATATTTCACACCTGTTAAGAATGACACTGATATTACAATTTTAGTTCTTTATGGAGTGAAGTTTTTTCTCATCTAGCGTTAGAAAATGAGAAGAATTTATCATCAACTGTCTTATCTGTTATAAAACTTGAATTTGCATAAAAATAGAACAGTTTGTTTTTCATATACCCCTTGGGGAGAAGGGCTGAAATCAGCAAGTCTGCCCTTTGGAGGAAGCTAAAACAAGAATGTTCTTCCTGCTGATTTTTTCAGCATTGCAAATAGTTACCTGGTGACCTTCCTGTTGCTGGTGACTTGCGGTAGTGTTGTCTCCTGTCTTTTTAAGGGCCAGATTCATGCAAAGGCCTATAATAGTTTGTGCTAGCATAGACCTTGCCCAACGGGGAAAAGATAGGTCTATTGGCATTTGGTTTAAATGAGTTGTGTTAATCTCCAGTACTGTCTGTGCTGCTAAATTTTATAGAACTCTTTAGGGAAGTGAAGTGGGTCAGCTGGGAAGTGCTGGATTGGCAATGGCTAAAGGTAACTACTGATGCAACCCATGGATAAAAGGGAGGACCTTGGATATGTCACCTAGTTGCCCCTTGTAGTTGATTAACAAGCTCAGAAATTGTCATATCATGTTGTACTTGGCTAAAGAGAAGAGTACTGTAAGGCTCTGGGATGGGGGAAAATGGAAGCAACGAGTGTCTCAAAAGAAACTCAGACATCCACAGAATATGACACATTAAAGCCAGCCCAGAAAGCTAGAACCGCATTGAGGAAATGAGTTAGGAACTATTTCACCCTAGGACAGTGGGGTCTTTTGGAAACATATACATACATATTTCCAGTCATGTAACTAGGAAATTACTTAAAACATATTTGCCATGTTTAATCCAAGAGATTGGATTTGGATCAAAAAACGTTTTAAAATTTCATCCGTCATGGAAAAAACTGTGATTTTTTTTTTCCTTCTCTGTCTTTTCTCTTTTCCAAACAAACTCTCTAGTCTACTTATGTGTGTGAAATATGTATGCACTTGTGCACACACACAGGTGAACATGGAAATAATTCTGTTGTGTTTTGAAGGAATCTATGTATCAGCAATTTAAGTACTGTTCCTATGGTGTATTTATAATGATAAAAGTAACATTTGCATAATTATACTTCTAAAAATATACACTGACTTAAAATTCAACACCTTGTATATGAACAAAATTATGCAGTAATATTTTTAAGGAAAGTACTTGTGTGTGTTTGTGTTTCTTCCTTTTTCTTTTAACCTTGAGTGTGTAGGATATTTAAGGGAATCTTTCTAAATACCAAGAGCACTTAATGCAAATTAGCCTATTGTCTAACTTCTGCAATGTTACCTTAGGAAATATTTTTGAGTTTTATAAATATAAAGAGCCCTATGCCTTGTTCAGCCTGTTATAATTTCATAAACAGTAAAACAAAATGTTATTGAAACTTTATTAAGGTAAATAAATAACAATACAAAATGCCTTCTGGCTGAGATGCTGGATCTGAATTCTGTTTCAACTCAAAACTGAATTTTTACAGCTCAGTTATGAAGACCTGAAAGGCAAGATTTATAAAAGAAGTAATAGAAGCTTCTTTACCTCTGGCAATGAGAGGCAGCACAGCTGCAGTCTAATCAAAAGGTCATAACTAAATTCCACTCTTTCAGCAACATTGCAGTGATGATTACAGAAAAAATAATGGGGCTTGTACTTCAGTCCTTGCCTACAGGGTGTAAAATTTACCCAGGTACAGAGAGAACAGGCCCAAGTTCCATACGACACTTAATTTCTGCATAGGTCATTTAGTGATGGTCTTTGTGAGACTTAAATGATGCCCATGACTCTCACCCATAAGCAGTACACATGTGGACTACTAAGGTTTTGGAGTTTAGATAGAGTTCATTGAGATTACCTGAAGGGATAGTGAAAATGGTGTGCGCCAGCTGGGCCACATCAAATTATCCTACATTATCTTCTATTCCATGGATACTGCTTCATTGAGCAAAGGATTGAGGTTCCAAAGGCCTCCACCTTCTGTAGATATTTTGTTGATAACAGACAACTTTAAAATGGTTAGGAGTTGTCTGGGGCTACTGCAAACCTCAAACCAGCCAGCCCATCCTGCTGCTACTACTAGGTTGCTATATTAAGGGGAAAATTGTAATTTACTTGAAGCAGCAGCATTGTAAGCTTCTTCTTGCCCAGATAAATATATTGATTAAGCATAAATACAGAGAAGAAATTGAAATCAATCCTGGAGATGTTAGAAATTTTACTAAATCTCTCTTCTGCTATTCACCTTCAGTTATTTTATTTTGTGGGATGAAATGAGCAGACATGAAATGCTGCATTAGAATGTATTTGGAAGTTGTATACTTTTTAGCATATTGGATTTCAAGGGACCCTGCACTAGTTTTGTTAAAGACCAATGTGGGTAATACTGTTAGGAATTTGATGTCAGCTGGGACAGAATTGGGCCACAAATACCTGAGAGCCCAAGAAAGATAATCACAAATCTTCTGTGTTTTCCCATTTTGGAATTTCCTATTATAATTATATATTGGAGAAACCAACCTTGACCAGCCTGTCATTTAAGGTATTATTTTGTAGGGTTTAATATTTGAATTGTTTTAGATTAGGCGTCAGCAACCTATGGCCCACAGGCTGGATCCAGCCAACAACAGCTCACAGAATCAGAAGCATACTCCAGTTGGAGCTGCATGATCTTACTGCCTTCCAGGTTCAGTTTATTCCCTCCACTGCTGCCACCGCAGTAGAGGAGGTGTGCCCAGGGTCCCATCACTTGCCTTGCGCTGTATCCCCCTCTGCAGCCTCTGCTGATCGCAGAAGTGCAGAGATTTGCAGGTTGTGGCAGGGACTTGGTTGCAAGTAGCAAGCAGGCTGTGGCTGGTGGCAAATAGTTGCCTACCCCTGCTTTAGATGATTCTCTTGCTTCAGTACTCCCGGGGAGCCTCCCACCATGATACCGAAGCACCAGTTCAGTTCTTGAACTAATTAATTTGTCATAACAGTTGTTTCACAGTCTGGCAATAAATTTCAAGTGCTGTCTGGAGGTTTCAAAAATGAAAATGTCTGGATATTACAATGTGAGAGAGACATCAAAAGTCTACTCCCATGTTGATTCTCATAGAAAAATTATAATAGATTGAAACTTTTTCATTGAGAAAACAGAATTACTTCAATCTGAGGCTTAGTAAAGGAATAATTACTTAATTTTTTAGTGAATGTGTATTTTGAAGGTGATTTTTTGGATGGCCCATTTGTGTGGTTAGTTCTGGAGGCTACAGATGTCAAGATTTACATACATTCTTTGTATATAACAACACTTTAAGTGCTGTAAAATTCCAGAGTATTTGGCGGTGCTAAAATTACAGTCAGTGTTGTTACTCAGCTACCACCAGGTACTGAAATCCCCAAATATTTATGTAGCATTATGCCTCCAGTAGATTTTTCTGATCTTTTATTAATTTGTTTCTGAGTGTACATTTTTGTCCTCCCTCCTCTCTGCGTCACAAAAATCCTAATAGACACTGAAGTCAAGCTAATGCAGTTATTTTAGCTCTTGAGGCTTGGGTTAGGTACTGTATTGATTTGCATACCACATGCATCTTTCCCAAAAAAATTAGCCCTCCAAAACTGGGTTGCATTTTTCAAGTGAGGAAGCTGATTTCTGGGTGGAATAGAAGCAGTGGGGTACTGTAATGTGTGCTGGGGACTGTGTCTCTCCTTCCCTTCCTGGACTGAATACAGCAGGGATGGAGACTACTTTTTAGTGTCGCTTACTCTGGCCTTGCAAACTCCATAGGTCAAGCTTTAATCCTGTTACAGGTGGTACTGAATTTTGATTGACATCTTCAGGGTCCTTTCTCTTATGCTTTGCAATGAGACATAGGAATAGTGAGTGGCCATCAAATACAACCAAGTATGGTCGGTGACTTCTGTTCATGGCTGGTTCTGACTGGGGGTGCTGAATCTAAGCTTTCTTCCTACTTGGACCCTTGTCAGGACCTGTGAGGAAGCAGGATTGCTGCTTGTGCTATCACTGAAGAAGTAGGGCCAGTCCGAAAAGGACTTTAACTGCCTAACCCTGGAAGTGGCTAACATACATTAGGTACTGCTGCCTTTGTCTTGAGAGTTCCTCCGGGTTCTTGGGGTACAGACAAGTTACACATAAACTGGTATAAGTGATCAGAAACCAACTCAGATCTGTAACACAACAGAAGTTCAGTGCACATAAACCAGTTTTGATTATTTTGAAAGTGGTTTAAGATAAGCCTGGATGGATGTAGTATCAATTTAAGTTATATCAGTTTATTGAACTTCTGTCCCAGATCTTTTCCAGATGCCAATTAACTCACAGTCCCAAAGCATCCCAGGATGCTTTGCACCTCCCCCACAAACCCCCATTTCCCTCCTTGTGAAGTGGGCTGACTAGCTTTAGCCCAAGCTGTCTGCTCCAGCTGAGCAGCGAGGCATGCTCTAGCGCCACCCAACTTCTGACCTGAGTCACTGTAGGCATGTAGCTGTATTTCTGGATTTAAAAGTGAATGAATGTTCACTTGCTTATCAGTTCAATCTATGCATCCTAAATTAACCTGCAAAGATTGAATTGATTCAGCCTTGGGCTTTTTGACTGTCTGTACTTAGCCTGTGTGCCCAAGTCAGGGCCATCTCCATCTACTTGGGATCCCAAGTCTAGAATCATATTCTGAGGGTAAACACTATGACTCTTCTGTCAGATACATGAACAGGGCTCACAGCTCTCCCTTTAAAGTACAACCATCAGACTACAAAAGGAAGTATGTTGGGGGATGCCATTACCTGTATTTACAGAATAACCAAGTGGCTAGAGCACTTACCCAAGTAATGGGATACCTTGATTCAGTACCCTCATCAGTCCCAGGGCTTCAAATCCACCTCCTCCACCTCTCAGGAAAATGCCATAATTAGGGTTATTGCACAAAAAGGAATGCAAGGTTCAAGGGGGGCACTACAGTATGCTTCACTGCTGGGTTGGAGAAGATAGCTTGGACTAAGGCTAACCTATCCACTCTGCAAGGAGATGTTTGTGGGGGAGGTGCAGAGCATCCTGGGATACTGGGGGACTGTGAGTTAATTTGAATCTGGAGGGCTGGCGGGGATCTGGGACAGAAGTTCAATAAAATGATTTAACCTAAATCAATTAAGTCTGATACTACATACATCCAGGTATATCTTAAACTGGTTTTGGCCATTTGAAAGCAGTTTATATACACTGAACTTCTTTTGTGTTACAAATTTGAACTGGTTCTCAATCGCTTATA